AAAAAGATCAAAATCAAAATGAACTAGCTTACCTTCAAGTCGACGCTGTTTGTCAGCTTCTCTATGCCTGTTAGCGGGAAGTCCTTGTAGCGTGCAGTTGGAATTTTAGCCGGAAAATGGCTAACGACGCTGACTTCATGCCCAGCCTCGGCCAGGCCCTGCATGATGGGTTGAAAGAAGTGGAAGTGACTGACGCCGGGGTGGGGAAAGAGGCCCAGAATTTTTAGCGGTCGACCGGCGTCCACTGAGACGTGCTCCTGCAGCAATAGCAGCAGCGGCAGCAGCGCTGCCAGCAGCGAACGCAACTGCAGCATTTTTTATGTGCTTTGCTTCTGTTGGCATGCGTGATAAATTTAAAATTAGAACAAAAAAAAAAAAAAATGTAAAAAACAAAAAACGAACGAATGAACTGATGAAAGAAAATTGCAAAGTAACACTTGTTGCATTTAATTGTTGCAAATTCTTAGCCTTCGATGCAATTTGCAGTGCGCATGCCTCAAAATTATGTAAATATTTGCAGTGAGCAAATGCATGGAAAGTCCCCAAATTGCTATTAACTTACAGTGTACCAACCAAATCTGTGACGAAATTGCGCTAATTGAGTTTGTGAATGAAGCGGCACTCGAAAAATCAATCAAACGCGGTGCCTTATTGAAATCACAATTACTTAAATACCAAACGCACTGCAGGCCTCTTGTGCGCTTCGCAATCGACAAGCGACTGACAAGACCAATGTAGTCGCAGTCACAGTGTAACCCAAAAGCCGTTGACTGCGCTGCCGCTGAATATTCGAAATTGAGCTTGTGTCAGCGATCAAGGGCGCATTGTCTATTTTCTACTCTCACGCATTGCATTGCACTCTCTTTTTCGACGAAGTTGCCGAAATGCCGCTGCAGCAACGACGCGTCGCGAAGCTCCATTGACCGAAAGTGAGCGCACATTTGTGCATGTATATGTGATCTCTCTCTCACACTTTGTGCACTTTCGAATGGCTCTCGCAAATTTTGCACAGTCATAAGTTCCACACACGCACGCACATGCGGTTCTTCTTTTACTCTTTTACTCATTGAGAGTATATTGATTTTGTGCTGTGTCTGTTCGTTGGTTTCGCTTTGTACTCATAGTGCTTGAGCGCAGAGTATTGCACAGTCAGCTGTGCTCAGTTGCAATGCTCTTTTCCTCTACTTCCTATACGAATTTCTGTATATGTGAATACAGTCGCATTTTTTTGGGGCCCCAACCTGAGCGCTGAGCAACCGGTTGCGCTTTAGTTTGAGACGCATAAAAATTGCATTTTATTGTTTAACCATCGCTCTTATCGGTTATAATTTTGCTTAGGAACTGAGACAGCTGAGAGCTGTTGCAAAAACATTATCAATTTGATTTGATAATGTCTAGTAGCACGTTTTACTGTCACTGATAAATTTTACTTGCTCTACTTTATTGAGCTGTATGTTTGCTTTTGAATATATACATGTACATGTATGTATGTATGTATGCTTGTGAGGCCTAACATGTATTCAAGTGTGATATTTTCATGATGTCAACAAAAGCTCGACTGATAAGAAGGGCACTACTATTTTTGTTTTTTGTTTTTTTATTATTAATGGGAAGAATGAAGCTGGATATTCGAAGATCAAAACATGTTTAAATTATTACTACATATTGATTCATGTATTCTTACATATAACTCTCGATCAGAATGATTTTTTCATGACTATCAAAATTGTATGGGAATATTCCAATATTATCAGCTCAGCATTTACTTTCATGATGTCTATACTAAAAATATTACAGGCCTCTTTATAATCTAATTGTTTATAATTTGATTATCATAGAACAACGAGCAAATTAAATATTTAATCTTTTGAGGTCAGTAAAAATTTCTAGACTTTACGAAGACGAAATGCACACGTGTTGCCTTCGGGCATTAGTCAGCAAACTCGTGATCAAATTATAATGGAATTGATAAGGCTCTGTAGGGTTCTGTTTTCACGGGCCAATGCCAAATGGAATATTTATTGTTTTTTCAGTTTGTTTTGCTTGACGACATTTCGCCTGCCACAAAGCCATCTCAAAAGCTTAAACAACTTCCAGACAGCGCCGATGCAGAGTAATACGATTACCAGACAGCAGATGTAAATATCGATCGAGTTATACACGAACCAATTCATATTATTGCCCGCGCTCTGTACGAGTGGTGCTCCATTTGTGGCGATCACATGCTCCGTCCACCACACAGCCAATTTAAGTGGGTCTTGGGGTCTCTCGCGAAATGCAATAGTCGCGCGTTTCATTTGCATAGCAAAACTGTAAAATAGTGTAGTTAGGAATTATTGTGATATCTGATGATAACTCTAGAGGTTGAGAATATTTCAAACTGATTTCTACTTTTGGGGGAGTCACCCTTAATTTTCGTTGGAATCCACTTACTAATCATCCAGTATAGTTCTCATAGCCCGACTCAGATGGTGCTCATCGAAGTTTTTAAATTCTACAATGACTCCAAAGCGTCGCTGAACAACAGCGGCAGCATTGAGAAACTGATCTCCATAGAAAGGCGTTACGAGCAATGGAACGCCACAGTAAATGGACTCCGAGGTGCCCAGCAGGCCGCTGTGTGAAACGAAGGCCTTAACTTTCGGATGACACAAGAGATCCCGCTGTGGCAGCCACTCGAAGGTATATAGATTCTTAGGCTTATTCTCGGGCATGGCTTTCTTTATCCAGCGCATCACGAATGTATAGCGATACAGATTGGCGATGGTAGCGAGTAGCGCCTGCAGTTTGGGTGCAGGTAAAGTGCTGGGATCAACCATTGAGCCCCAGCTGATGTAGATGACGCCCAAGTCGGACTCATCCAAGAGACTTTGCAGGTGCTAAGGAGAGAGAAATTGTGATAAGTCTGGTACATTTTTGAAGCATATACGTACGTACCTGGGGCAGTGGCTTGGCTGGACCGACGTGCAGACCGCCAACCTCCACGACATTAGCTGTATAGGGAGTTGAGCCCGACAGGGAGTAATGTTGATTGATCAGCATGAGGCTCGTGTTCTTCACAATCTCGTTGATGGGCGGCAGACCGGGGCCAAAGCGTTCCCTAATCAAAGCATCTGTTGCAGGTTCTGTTATATATCTTAAAAGAGATGACAAGCAATCAGAAAATCATATACGTATGTCCACAAATGTAGTATAAATTTACTTATGGAGGGCATTGGCAATATGAAAGTGGAAAAAGTTATTGAGGCGCTCCATAAATCCCATGTGGTCGGTGTGGGGCAGAAAGTTCATGGGCATGACCGAGTTGATGTGGGGCGTGCCCAGTGTTTGATAGTGCCAAGACATGATGGCACAGCTACTCAAGGCAATCACGGGTTTGCCCAGCAGATGGGCGACTGCGGAGAGACAGTCATTGGCGAACTGCTCCAAGATGATGACATCGTAGCTCTGCGACGACCTGATCAGCTCTGCGATCAGGGGCGAGTGCAGGGCCACCTTGCAGGAGCGCAAACTCCAGTCGTGTAGCATGAAGAAGTTGCCCATTTTTATGGGTATTCCTAAGAAATCAGATTGTTGTTCAATGCTCTGTTGGAAGAGCGAAAGAGTTGAGGTGCAGTTCGTATCAATTAGATGATCCACATTTACCTTCAGATCCACGAAATCCGTCAGCAGCGGCATGCCCTCAAAGACGTAATCCGTGTAGTTGGCCATCGGCTCCTTCAGCGGAAAGTAACTGTACATGCTGATATTGTGTCCCCGCTCAGCCAACGCCACAAACAGGGGACGAAAGAAATCAAAGTGACTCTTGCCCGGATGTCCGAACAAGCCGAGTATCTGGGCCGACTCAACAGCTGATGGCAGCGGGCCAGAGAGGGCCAGACCCAGCAGCAGCAGCAGCAGCGGCGACCGCAACATGTTGCAGCCACACTGAGCGTATACTTAACTCCAAGGTCCAAATACGTTTGTATTTGCAAACACAAATTTGCAAACTCTAATCTTTGGTAATCTTATGGTTAGATCGTGACCGGCATTTAGCTATTGTTGCTAGCTTTGCTGTGGCTGCAGTTGCACTTATGTATTGTTGTTTTTCTTTTTGTTTCTCGATTGCGGAACGATCAAGTCTGTATTATAGTCGTTTATCTAACGAGTTCTTAAATGCCAAACAAAGGTTGCAAAGTGCATTGTCTTGCAGTTACTCGTATGTGTTAAAATATCGCTTGACGCGAAAAGTAATTTAATATAGCGCTTAGATTTGGTTTAATAATATATGTTGTGTATTATTATTTCCCAGACTGAACTCTTAACTGCTTCAGCCCCAAAATGAAACTAATCAGTAATGGAAAATAGTTGAATGTTTTGTGGAACTGGCAGCAAGCTTGATATCAGCAAAATGATATAGATTAGTTTTGTTGGTACAAAATATTGTTATGGGTTGTTTTTTGCGTCAATTTGATTTGAACTATTTTGGTTGGTAAGCAAAACAATGATCATTGTGACCTGCTCAATTCATTTCTGCCTACTCCTATGTATTTTCTCTGTTCTATAAATGTGGTTAGAGAGTTCAAT